AATTATGTATAATCATTAAAAATCAATAATAAAATATAGGCAGGCAACAGTATTTACTGGAAAATGTATGAGAAGTTGACTAAGTCTAATAAGTTGTCATTGAAGAAACCATTTATAATAGCGTGAAGTTAAAATGTATAAAAAGGATCGCTACTTATATTTTCATTTTTGTTCTAAAGAAAACATAGAATGAATGATTAAAGAACATCGTAAAATGATAATTTATTGTTTATTTAAAAACTTTCTAGTTTCTGATGTCTACTATTTCCAGCATTCCTGTTATTATCACAAAAATAAAGGTAATTTTTCTTCTTATTGTACACCTATCCATTTATTTCTTTGATTTAATTTCCACTTTGTTAGTGAAATTTGTTATATAAGTTTCACTGTTTTTTTTTGCTAGTATTTGTACAATTTTCAACACAGCAACTCCGGTTGCTTATTGTGTTGTTTTTACCTACTTTTTTGAAAAAAAGTAAAATGGATACGTGTATTTGATATGCCAAAATTACAAAATATCCCCCTAAAATGCACGAATTATCCGCAGCTAGCGCTAGTATCGCTTTTGCTTCCCTTTCCATGACTTCGTACGGAGCGAATAACGCTATAAGTAAATTAACACTTTTTCATTTTATTAAAAATTTGGTCGCTCAAAAAAATCTTGTAACGAACTCTTATATTAAAAGGTTATTAACAAACTAGGTCGTTAAATAACTATAACCTTTCTTTATATACCTACATCTGTATTTCACTGATTCAATTTATCTGTGAGACAAATGCTGAACGTAGCATATGTTTGTGAAAATTAAAACTGCGAATTATTTAAGCAAAAAATTATTTCAACATTGAAAACAAATCCGGCCCTGTTTAATTACGTAGCATGGTCGGAAAACGACTCAATGCGGATGCTCAGTAGTTCTGCAACGAGGAGCATGTTTGTGATAAATGTTTGACGATTATGAAGACTAGAGATAAGGAGACGAATAGGCATACCCAAAATACAGCCCCAAAAAACAAACTTTAGTTGAGCTTTTACAATTCACCGCAAGAGCACTGGTGCTGCTAGTGATGATAAAAATACATGGCTTCTTATGGGAATTTTATATAATTTTGTGAAACAAAAAAAAATTAACTTGATAAGTAAGGTTTGCATGTTTTAATTTTAATTACATAAAATACAAATTAGGTAGGTATGAGACAATTTGAAATGTTTGTTAAATAGTGAAATTTGGTAGGTACATTTTTGTGGCTAAATCTAAATATAGTTTTAAGAGCAAAATAAAACACAATTATAATAAAGCATATAGGGAGATTTGGGAATGTACATGGTATTGCCTCTTCCTTTAATTTTGGCCTTTCTCCTTTTATTTTGCTAACAGTGTCATCAGTAAAAGGAGTCTCATAATATTTGGAAATATCTTTTAAGAACTGTAACTCGCAAACAGCATCATCTCTAGAAACTGCTTTATCAGCCGAATGATATGCTGCCACTATTCCAAACTTTTAGGATCCTTTAAAAAACATTTACAATGACAAAATTGGGGTTCAACAAAAAAATAAAAGTGGTAACTCTTCATCAAACATTAAAACTCTGAAAGAAACAAATTTTTCTTTTCAAGTAAGGTAAATTTAATATGTAATTATTGTTGTTTGTAAGTCAGGATTTATAACTGTAAAATTTTATATTATAGAAATTTGTAATAAAATTAACTACACTCCGTAAGATACGGGTTGTGACTAGTTTACAATAATATTCTATTTAAAAATAAATACATTATTTTACTTACACTAGGAGCTTCAAAGAGACTTTGAATTGATTTATCTTTGAGTTTTCTTTCGTTTTACATTTTATTTATATCCAGTTTTACAACTTAGAACGAAGTAAATCTTTCTTTGATGTTTTTTGTCACTCATGTTACTTGTACGCAAGTACTTTGTTTCACATTGTTTTGATTCTTTTTTCCATTAAAAAAAAAACACTTTGACATTAACTTGCATAGAAAATAAACGTCATTAACGTACGACGCGACAACTACAATCAATTTGACGAACTTTATAAAATGAAGGCCGGAAATTGTATGACATCTCCCTCCGTCCCTTTTCGCCTCTCTGTACGATAAATTTTATTGCAAACTTAGAACAATATATTCTAAGATTGCAAACTTTAATATCATGGATGAAGTTGTTATTGTGGTAGATAGATTTAAATTTTATAACATCTTCGAATTCCAGGACTATTCTGAAATCAATGGGAATAGCTTATTTCAGGTGTAAAATCCTCATACAATATTTACAGCTGCCTGGATGATAAATTAAAACAATGGATAATGTATCTGTCAACTAATTAAAATTATAGCTTACCAATTTTTTATATCTGTCACGTCAGATGACAAGTACTTGAAAATAGTTTAAGTTGAGAGAAATTAAACTCATAAAATAATTTAATGAGAAATATTAATTTATTCCAAAAAAGAAGTAAAACGAAACGTAACATGTTTAAAATTTCAAATAATGTTACGACTCGTGGACAAGGTGAAAATATTCCTTCAAAATTTGCAAACATTAAAGAAACGAAAAAGAGTCCAAAACCTGGTACATCTTTTGTCAAACCTGGCCCTTTATCGTATAAGCGTAAAGTTTTAGGGCAGTTAAGCATACAAAATATAGTAAACAATGAATCTGAATTGGTAACGTATACCGACCAAAGCGAATCTCAGGAAAAAAGTCAAGATTCATCAGAACAAGGTTGGTAGAAATTATTGAAGTATAACTAACAAAAAATATCAAGATGATGTAGATAAATATTATGTGAGCGGAGAGATATTTTTTTTTAATTAATTTATTTAACGTCGACCTATTTCTAACTACGAGGTTTAATCACCGACGCTGGTGAGCACGCTATCCTCAAATATCAGAAATTTTGCCGGAACCTCTGGTGTGTCTACTAAGAAGTAGGGATCTTTAACGAGCTAAACATCTATGGACGCGGGACTAAAGAATTTACATCTCCGAAAGATGGCACACTCCACGCTATACCTCGTAATCATTGATATAATGCCTGCTAGCTGTGGTATGCAACTATGCGGGCAGTTTGGACTTTAAAGATACTTTTCTTGAGATAGTGACTCACTAACACTAACTACGAGCGGCTCTGCTTGACTGCACATATCGATGTACGATAGTGAATCTGCTACTCTGGGTCGCTACCATAATTCCTCAATTTTGTTGGTAACTCCTATGTTATTTAATGTATTTGTCTCTTTTAAACTTAAATAACATCACTCGGTTTGTTATAAATTACTCTATTTAACTTTGAATTGGTTAGAAGTTAGAACCAAATATATAGATAGAAGCTTAAAGTTTGTTCTAACAAATAATCCATTTCTTATCCAACATTAATCTCTTGTATAGTTTTTAGGCAAGCGTGAATAATTTTATTAAGAAATGAAATAATATATCCGTTAACAATCCGAAAAATCCGTTTCCACAACCCAAAGGGGAAAACAAATCATAGAAAACTTGAAGAAGCTGAGAAAAAAAGAAAAATGAATGCGCCTGCCACTATTTGAACGTGGATCTTCGAGTTTATACTTTGATGCTTTATCAATTAGGCTACTGTGGAACATAGTAAGGACAGTCGAATTGGTAAATGTCAAGTTTGAAAACATCAACATCATATTCTAACTCCTCTAGTTGGTACACACATTCTCTACTGCCACAGATCTCGCCACTCTTAGTATGTACTAGAATTTATGAAAATATTTTAAAATATCTAAGCATGTTGTCTTTCACACCGATACTGCATTATTGGCTTGAAGCAGATATTAGAGAGTTGGGGAAGAGGAGCATGTCTATACCGACTAGAGTTGTTCGAATCTGATATCTTCAAATTTGCGAATTAAATTATCGTAGCTATGTGCTACGGTAGCCTAATTGGTAAAGCATCAAGAAGTAAATTCAAAAAACCAGGTTCTATCCCTGGCCTGCCCACGCATTTTTTTATTTTACCTTTTATAATTTTTCTTTACTCCTATCCTCTTAAGATGTACCATATTCAGTGTCAGCTTCTTATTCTGCAAGTGGCACGTATATCACTTCTGTTGAAATTTTTAAGTTTTTTGTTTTTAAACTATGGTCTCTTTAATTGTAGTTGCATAACATTCCTATATAGCATTGCTTTAATATGGCATCACAGTATACTCCTCCCATTTTTTTCTATGTATTGGATATAAAAAAAATAAGTTCTATGATCCACTTTGGAATCAATCTTTAATAATATCTATCCCAAAGTCTGTAATTATAATCTGTAATTATATGGATGCAGTCGAAACAGAGAGGTGTACAGTAGGTTCTTTATAATGTTACACGACCACCTGAATCTTTGTATATTCAAATGCATCTTTAAAATTTTAACTGAACATGTTTACTAAACACGCTTAGTCTGCTAGTACTAATATTTAATTTTTTTTAAGAAAAAGGCAGTGGTTCTAAGGAACAAACAGACATTCTTAACGAAGCCGCTTTCACCGAAACCCAGTCTCAAGACATGGAAAGCAGTGGAAGCGGTCCAAAAGAAAATTACTTTCGAGGGGATAAGAGAACTAATCAAAAAACAATAAAAATTAAATCGAAAGATTTTGTCACTATCATTTCTTGCGATAGCACTAGGGAAGAGGAAAGTGAAAAATTCGAAGATGAGAACGGCAATGACAAGAGTAAAAATAAGGAAAAAGTTATTGTGATTAAGGCACACACTGTTCATATTCATAATCATTTTTATAAAAGTATTTAATAACGTAGCTTTTTTGTTTTTTTTTTTTTATTCATAGTTATGTGGTAACGTCTCGTTTGAAAAATTAACTAGAAAGGATGACATTTGGGTTGCATATTTAATAAATTAAAACAGCATGAGAATATCTACCTATATATTTGTCAACAATAAATTAATAAATATTAACTATTTAAGTGACATATTTAAAGTTTTTCTTTTTTTAAGTCTATTAACTTAAATACACAATATATAAACTATATAAGCGGCTGATTATGAAGGATGTCAAAAAAATTAAGTCTAGCTGAAAATATAACTCGCTCGTATCGTGGATTTTCTTTGGGCCCACCATTGCAAGAAAAATAAATAAGGGTTTTACACAACTTTCTCCAGTTCTCATAAAGTTTTTGAAAGCCGGTGTTTCAGAAAGTATATGTATGTCTGTGGCACGAGTCTCTGCATTAGAGGAAGAATGCTTTCCACTACGAATTGCTACGTATGTAGGCCCAGGTTTCCCTTCACCATCTTTCTTTATTACAATACCTGCATAAACAGAAGGAATAAGTTTGTGTTTTTCCGCTAGCATGAATTCATGATCCGGTAATTTCACACGATAATTAAAGTACATTAATATTGGTGCTTGAGCATTTACTGCTATAATACCTAAAGGCACGCGTGCTTTGTCATCCATTGATAAAAAGAAAACTTTATCATGGCCCAAAATTGAAGCTAAAGATTCAAGGTTTCTTATCGTAACAGTATAGAATGTGCCATCGTTATGTTTCAAATGTAGCATATAATCTGGTGTGCATAGTTTAACAGGAACAGTTACGACGTGTCTCTTTCCTTTATCTGTATTGACTCGTCTGGGAAGAAATCTGAAGTATAACCCTGATTGACCGATACTAGATCCCTGTTTACAAAGTTCGACTTGTAAATCGCACCTTATAGTTTCAGTGCGACGTCGTTCATCAGCTGCGCCACCAAAAACATTCAATATCTTTTATGGCTTCAAGTATACCGGATTGGTTTTCTTCTACTCTACGCCGACCATCAGTATCTCGAAGTTTTAGAGCTGATGATAAGTCGGTATTATTTTTACAAAGTTTTTTACAAATGTGACGTCACGAAATGTAAGACCCCTCCCACCCCTTGTCACACAATGTCAAACTTCGTCGACCCCCCTCCCCCCCTCTGTGCCGTAATTTATGGATGACCCCTTAGTACCAAAAATCGCCACAGCTGCAGCTGTGAATACATTTATTTCTATAATAAAGATCATAATGATGATCATTGGTACCATCCTTGAATATTAACTCAGTGCGTGCAATATTATTATCCGAATTACATACAAAATTTTATATTCTGGTATAAGTTAATAAAAAAAAATAAATTATACGTGTACCAAGGCCGAGGCCTAGTCAAGGTCATTCATGAGATCCAACAATTTTTTTAACATTCTTGTTTCTGAAAAGAATAGCCCTCTCAATTCTTCTTTAAGGTGGATGGGAAGGAGAATGTATCTATACCAACAAAAGTCAAAATCTGATTGACCTCAAATCTATAAATTCGACTGTCTCAGCCATATTCTTCGATGGTCCATTTTGTAGAGATGCCGACGCACCTTGTTTGGAAGTTTCTTGTTGCAATACCTGGTCGATTCATTAATATTTTTCTTGGCTTTTACAGATTTTCTTTGGGGATGTGGGCTGTATTTTTCATAATTTCGTAGGGGGCATTGGGAATATATATTTTCATATTTTCTATTTCAGTTTTCGGATCTCAACTGATTTTCTCACTTGACTTTTCTTTGAAATTTCGGTTTTGTTGTCCATTGATTTTCTTATCATTATAATTAGGGATAATGTCTGACAGCACTCTGTATATTCAAGATATCCTAGCTGAAATTTTGTGTATTTTGCTATTTTAACTGCACATTTAACCTTTGATTTAATATTTTAATCCTGCATTAAAAAAGTATAGCGTATTTTTGTGATACATCTTGTATATCTATTTTAAAAAGTTTTAAATTGCTATCGAAAAGTAAAACATTCCGATCAAGATCGTGTCGATATTTAATCACCGCTTACAATTTTAATTTATCTAAAATCCGAAAAACTTTAAATCCTTGCCATTTTTTCCCAATATCGACTTATAGACTTTTTTAAAAAAAATCTCAGTATTTAATTTGCCAACTAGGGAAAGATAGATAAAAAAAAATAATCTGTAATAGTTATAAAACTTATATAATTTATTTTCCAAGACCCATAATGCCATGATTTTTTGAATTTTTGATGTAATTTTCTTCATATTTATGGATATTTAATTTTGTATTCAATTAGTAGCAGCGTCTACAAGATGATTAATTATTAGTTATTCTTTTGTCTTAAATTATACTGTTTTTACTAACACGAAAATATTTAAACCCTAATATATATTTAAATAAATATTTCAGCTTTTCTACAAAATATGAAAAAAATTTCAAAACATGTCAATTTTAATAATTGTGGAATTGTGGAAGGAACATCTTCCCACCATATCATCAAGTCTCATACGTCACTCCCCTCCTCTCTGCCACTGGAATTAAATTTAAATAGGAAATGTACTTAATATGACAGTATGACAAATCATTGAAAAGATAATGTTATGGACAATTCAGTAAATACTACTGTTTATTAGGGGGCGTCTATGAATTACGTGAGGTATTTTTAAGGATTTTTTAATCAATTAAAAAAGTATGAAATATTGTTTCTGTTACAAAATTTAACATTTATTCTGAAATATTTGCTTGGAAAATTATTTTGATTATACAAGAGTTTCGTATAACTTTTATTTGACTTAATTTTGTACTAAGATAAGTTCATTTTCGTTCAAATAATCATTTATTACATTTTTGTAACACTATTTAAGCCTTGTTCGATGATCCACAGATTACTACACTGGATTGGCAACCCATTATCATTTATTAGGTTCTACACATATTTTGGGATGCCCTATGTAACTGGAGAAAATTGAAACCAGAGTGTGTTAAAAATAAATCAAGTTTCTTTATTTGTTTTATTTTTAAGAAGATCATGTAACAGACATCTCGAGCAAGACATACCTAACTCTGATTTTAATTGTAGTAGCGACATAAATTGTAATTTTATACAAATTGATAGAATGTTTACAAAACAAAATCTGTAAAATAGAATATTAACTAATTTACGGAAAATTCTTTGAGTAGTAATAAAAGCAAAATTGTATTTTTAAATTTGTAATTGTATATGGTTTGTTGAATGTAGTTACAAGATAGTTACTTACACATTTACATAGACTTTGGCAAAATGTTTTTTTTTAACCTTTTATAACTGTTTTATAAATTTTAAGTTTTAAGGTTATGTTACATATCAAGTTTTTAATGTTTCTAATGATAACAAACTAATTCTACATTTTCCAGAAAGAATAAATGAAAAAGTAATTATAATAAAATAACAGTAGCTATCAAGGAGTTATCTAGATTTAAACATAATGTGTGACCCAAAATAAAGTCGTTTTTGGATGAAAAGTAAAAATTACTATTATTTATATAGCACACAATACTTAATTTTTATGTACTGTGCGTTTCCTATATTTTTTTTTATTCAGAAACAAAAATATTTATACAATATGTTTTTTTTACCAATTTCTTGGAGTTTTATTTAATATTTTGGTTAAATTATTGTTTTTAAACGTGTCGCTTTAATAAAAACAACTGTACCTACCTAATACAACAATTAAGCTATATCAATTATTTCTACAAAATAAACTAAGATTAATTTTTTCTTCATTGTGGTTTATTGTATACAATGTCGGCTAATGAACGCTTTTCAATACGCTTTGTTAATGTCAAAATGAAAAAAAAAAACAGAAATATAGCATTAGTGCGAAACAAGTAATATCAACGTTGCCAGTTTAAACCAGGCGGCCGCGTGGAGATATCTCTCGTTGTATGCCTATATTGATATTATTCGTTTTGTGCTCGCCCTAATGCTACTTCTCTGTAGTTTTCACTTTGATATTAGCAAAGAGTAGTGGAATATGACTTTTCGAATACAAATTTTTTCGATGCAATTGTTTTACGTAATATTTAAAGTTTGGCGTAGCTATCATAGTGCAGATCGGTACAGAGCACCGGGCCTCGGAGAAATTTGAGGCCCCACAAGAGCTCTCTGATAATTATATAATTTTGTTATTGTATTCAAATTAGTAATAATTTTAAAAATTCATGTTTTTAAATGTCTAAAAATTATAGCACAAATTACAAAACGTTCTCAATGGAGATTGTTGAAGCCTATTTGATTTCTACTGAATTTTGTTCGTTTAAAAATTAATAGGGAAAAGTGGTACATAGTGGGACAAGGTATAATACCTATAATGGGACAAAGCCATCTATTGCCTTTCATTGAACATAGATGAATTATTTATCCTTTTATGCCAACCAAATTAACACCAAATCACAGATTTTTATTTATCGATACTGCAATATAGCGAAATATCTTCCTCGTGGTAATTTCCTTTGTACTTTTATAAAACTGTCTAGAGGTGTTTAAAATTAAAATAATAATAGTTCTTATGACAGTTTAAGCTGTTTTTAAGATATGTATCTACTAAAAAAACAGATTTTCAAAAAAAATATTTTGTTTGAACAATAACAAACATAGTGGTATATTTCAGGACACTCTGTGGTAGTATATAATGGGACGTGTTAAAGTTTGAGAATGCAAAGTTTTTCTTCTCCGAAACGAGATAAGGATATATGGAATAGAGAGAGCTATCAACTTTTTTTTAGGTATTTCAAAGTTTTTTAAATGCGTTACTGAAAATTTTTCCATTATTTTTGTAAAATTGTTTCATCTTTCGTTTGTAATCGGGATTTTATAAAATATTTGTAGTTTATATTCAAAAAAATTAATTTTGACATGATTTAAATTGCTGTTCAATAGTGTACTACGCCTTGTCCCAGTAAGTACCACTGGGTGGTTCGGTTTTATCTTATTAGTATACAAATTGCATAAAAAAAAATTCGCCTCTATCCCATAGTTGATATGGAGGGGTATCAACCTTAAAAAATAAAGTTACAATTTTTTAATTGAACAATTGGAATCTGCGATTTCTTCTATACACAAACCCAATATTTTAAATTTTTTTTTATTAAAGTTTTCCAAAAATGTTCTATCTGAAATGTCATAGTTCGGATGTGACATTTAAAAATAGTTACAGAGAAGATAAGAAACTCATTTTGGGCACTTCTAAAGTAGATATAATTAACAACGTTTCTCTATAAAAATCTCCACCATTTCCTAGTTTAAAATTAGGTTACAACTTTTTATGTGAAATTGTTGAAATCTAGGAGTTTTTCTACATACATATCCAAAATTTCAAGTTTTTTTTGACAAAAATTTCATTCAAAAAAAATTTTTTGTGAAATAATTTAAAATTTTGGGTATATATGTGAAAAAAATAGAAGACTGCGCCAGCGCGAAGTGTGGCTGAAAAAAAGCAAACTTCAAATGTTGCACAGTATTCCAAAATTGCCAGGGGAACTGCCTGAATGGGGTTCCTCGAGTTGAATCCGAAGATGAAGAAGAACAGAACCGTTTCCCAACAGAGTCCTATGGAGAAGATATTGGAGATAAAGAAGATGAAAATGAAGACGAGAATAAAGATTCATAGTCAACAGTTGTCGCAAAACTGATTTCACGCTCAATTTTGAAATTGCTTTAACATTTCAAGGAAAATAGATAAAATAGTAAAGTAATATTAAAGGGAATTTAA